GAGGAACAGGAAAGTTGATGTTTCGGGTCAGGACCCTTCTTCAGAAAAGGGCAGGAAGGCTTACTAATTTGGGAAGATGAGGTGGGTGAGAGCCATTGAGTGAAGATACAGCATGCAATAGTGAGAGTGGTGGACCAATTGCTTTAGTGGAATGTACTTACAGTGAAGAGAAGGTGAAGGCTCTGATGAAGAGTCATCTAGGCTCGAAACGTTAACTTGCTGTCTCTCCATGGATGCTGTCTGACCTGCTGTGATCTCCAGCATTGGTTGTTTTCAGTTTGTGGCATTCCTCGCATTTGTTTCAAAAAATACTATTGTCAGAATTTGATGATGGCCTATAGACTGGCATCTGCAAATTCTTTTCCTGATACAGGGTATAAATACCATTGCAGTGTGAAACATCCCCCATCCGAAGACTAGTTCCTTACAAGCAGAGGACATTGCTGTAATGAAATATCCTGAGCCTTTGCATAGGTTGCCTAGCACATTACTACAGCACTCTCAACCAGTCTACATTTGTTTGCAATATCAGATCTTTGCTGCAAGATTGTGTTCAGTGTTATTGAGCTCAGTCGGACTGGCATGTATGACTGGGAGGTATCCAGTGTTTGATTTCTGTGGGATTGAAGTTCTGTGAAGCAGGGTATTGAAGCCAGTTCATTCAGGCAAAGCATTGTATTCATTTCTGAAAACTGAGGAAATAAGCTGTGTTCATCATCTTGGACATGCATAAGATTTTTAAGCCCTATCTGTACTATCTTCTCAGAACCTGTGCACTTGTCATTTATTCTCCACTATACAAATCAATATTCGCAGTGAGGTCTAGTGGTTGTATGAATTTAGTTCATATAATTTTCTTGGGTACTTTTGGTTGCTTTACTCTGGCTGACTCATCCCTTTGAATTATTATGCTATTTGCGTTGAAAGTTGTGCCCTTTCCTGACAATGTCTGCCCACAGACAGTATTTGCTTGATGCAGTTGAGAAAAAGAGCTTGGAGAAATTCACTGGCAGCTTGGTAAAGTTAACTGTTTGATTTAAAAACTGAAATTGTGTCAGTGATTAAATACTTAGGAGCAGTCAAAAGATCTGGAGAACTTTATCTCGGGTGAAGAGATTGAACTACTAAGACGTGAGCAGTCATTGAGGAAGTCACAGTCTGAGAGGCTTTGAAGGAGTTCCAAAGCTAGATTTTCAGAAGTGAAGAATTAGAATCCCTTGCAAAGGTGATAGAGCTTTCATGGGATTTGGTGAAATATGTTGTCACTAACATCTGGTGATGTCTGCCTTGACTGCATCAATCATTTAAAGTGTAGCCTGTGGGATATTAGACCACAGTTTGTCTGTTAACTCGTTTACCTTGTTAATCATGAATATCTAAGTTTTTTTTTATATATATAGTTTATGTGGTTTAGAATCATTATCTTACCTGTTTGGTATACCAGGTTAGTTATTACTGTTGTTGTTTGTTTTGTACAATAAAGATTATATATTTTTGGAGTTTCAATTCACCCTTGGGAACGCTGCCACTTTATTGTCTTACCTTTGGTTCTTCCATGCATTCTATTCTTTAAAAGATTATGGACTATGAAGTCAGATCATAACAAATAACTAGCTTGTCCAGTATTCTCCAAACTGGGGTCATTATACTACTCTTTGTTTGAGATTTTAGGTCTTGTACAAGGAAGCTTTGATACCCTCTTTCTGCAAGATGCATTTCTAAAACAAATTGTTTGGTTTTGTCATTCTAAGAGCCTCCAGTTCTTTACAATTTTTCCCTTGATAACCACATCACAAGTGCAGATATCCTGTTTGGTGGAGGTTGCTTTTTGCAGGATGGTCTTGTTGCTTTTTGATAACAAACATTTGTATATCTCAGATAATGGCTGAGATAATATCTGTTCAGAAGTGACAAGATCTTGTCCACAGATGAGTAACAAGATTGCATCTCATCACTGTGATAGAATAGATAGATAGATAGATAGAATCTACAGTGTGGAAACAGGCCCTTCGGCCCAACAAGTCCACACCAAACCTCAGAGCATCCCACCCAGACCCATCCCCCTATAACCCACCTAATCTACACATCCCTGAGCACTATGGGCAATTTAGCACGGCCAATCCGCCTAACCTGA